CCGGAGCCCAGCAGGTCGAGGTTGCAGTGGCCGGGAGCGGCCACTGCACTCCAGTCTGGGTGACAGAGTGAGACTCCCACTCAAAAAAAAAAAGCTCTATCATGGTGGGGGAAAGTCCCGAGCGGGGGCAATGGGCCATGAGGGCTGACATAAAAGTTGGGGTCTGGACACCTGCCCAAGGATATGCCAGAGAGCAGGCACTTAGGGCACAGGCAGGACTCTGCCAGGTGCCCTGGAACCTGGAAGAACTGGTTCTGTGTCATCCCCCATCCTGGCCTTTGGTCTTGGCAGGACAGAAGTCATGTCTCACGCCCCGTGTGTCCTCACACACAGGTCTCGCTCGACAGGGCACCGGGGACCTGCTGCTGGGTCCAGAGGCAGCCTGGGGACTCAGATGCCCAAGGAAGGACGGCGCTGTCTCCGCCCAAGCTCCTCCTCCTCCTCGTCACCCATTACCCCCTGTGATGCATACATCCAACGAGGGGCGATCCCCAGGGTGCTCTTCTGGGAGGCAGGATTGATGGGGCCCTCCCAGAAGGAGCCTATTCTTGGGGCGACTGATAGGACAGAAGCAGAGCTAGGGGCACTGGGGAATGTGTCCTATTTGCCCCCCTAGCTCGCTCCACCCCACCCTCCTCCCGTCCTGAACGCCAGGGCCTCCCGGGCCACGCCTACACCCAGCCTGCGTCTTGGCGTCTACTCACAGAGGCCGCCGCCCAGGACGGATACCAGGACTTCAACACCACCAGGTGGAGGCTTTTGGCTGTGGAGACCAGGTACGCCCCAAAGAGCAGGTGCAGCAGAGCAATGACGATGTGGAAGGCCTGGTCGGGGACAGCGAGAGGCGGGTGGGGGCCGGGGCATTGGCCAGGGCCCTAGACTGAGCCATCAGTGCCCTGGACCTACTGGCTGAGACAGTCCCTTTCCACCCTCCTGGCGTCCTAGTCTGTGAGAGGAACCGCTCCCCAGGGTTTCCTGCAGGGAGGGCCCAGACCCCCACCGATGGCGGCCATCTGTCTTGGAGCTGACCCAACTGGCTGGTGGCTTGTCCCTGCTGTCACCCCACGATGGCCGGCCCCTGCTCAAACCCCACAAAGCAGTGGGTTAGACAGCGCCTCTCTACCCGCAAGGCTTTTTAAAGTCTGGGATGAGTGCTCGGCAGGACCGCTGGAGACCTCCTCCCCTCCCTCTCTCCTCTCAGGTCCCTGTGTCCACCCCCGCCCCCTCCTCTCCCCTCCCACTGCCAGAGCTCCAGGAAAGCCACACTCACGCCCAGCTCCTTGAGAAGGCAGCTTCTCTTCCGTGGCTTTTCCTGGTGCCAGTTTGGAGCCAGGAGCCCAGGCAGAGTCACATTCTGGGGGAGACTCATCTGCCCGGGCTGTGCTGGGCTGAGGGCCTGCCGTGACAGGGGCCCCCCAGCACCCACACTGGGGATGACCGTGGCTGCTCTGTCAGCTTCTGTCGCCATGGATTCCGGCTGGGGACCCTGGCTGTGGGCTGAGGAGAAAGGCCATCAAAACTACCCGGTCTCTGAGGCTTGTGCCGGGGCGGGACTTGGGCTGTCACCTCTGTTGTCTGGACTGGTGTGGGGTATTGTCCGGACATAGAGTCCTCTCCCTCAGCAAGTGGCCTCTGGCCAAGGCTGGTAATGAGTCAAGGGAGGCAGGTGACCGAGCAAAGCGGAAAACAACATGGGCATCACTCTTAATCAATGTAATTGCATAACGGTTTGACTGATTAATAGTGCCCAGAGAGTAGACTCTTACCAATGGTCGCCATGGATGCCTCCCGTAAGAATAAACCAATGTCTTTTGCTGTGCAAAAGCTTTTCAGTTTGATGAGATCTCATTTGTCTATCTTAGCTTTTATGGCATTCGCTTTTGGGGATTTTCTCAGGGATTTGTAGCCATAAAGAACAAGGCCTAAATCATAGGCCAGGTGTGGTGGCTCATGCCTATAATCCCAGCAGTTTGGGAGGTTGAGGTGAGAGGATGGCCTGAGCTTGCGGGTTCAAGGTCAGCCTGGGCAACTTGGCAAGACTTCATCTCTACAATAAGTCAAAAAGTAACCGGGCATGGTGGTGCTAAGTAGTTCCAGCTACTTGGAAGGCTGAGGCGGAAGGATCGCCGGAGCCCAGTAGGTCGAGGCTGCAGTGGCCGGGAGTGGCCACTGCACTCCAGCCTGGGCAACAGAGTGAGACTCCAATTAAAAAAAAAAAAAGAACAAAATCAAGGACTTCACAGCAAATTGGATGGAGCTGGAGACCATTCTACCAAGTGATCTATCACAGACTCAAAGAACTAAATACTGCGTGTTCTCTCTCGGAAGCAGGCCCAGAACAATAGTCACGTTAGCACAAGGGAGGGAGGGAAGAGTGTGGGGGTTACACAACAACACAAAGGGGACCGGGTCTACTACAGCAGAAGGAGGATCAGCTGGAAGCCCAACTTCACCTGCATGCACCCTGTCTATGTAGCTAACCCTCACTTGTGCCCCACATCTCTATAATAATAACAACAACAATAATAATGAGCCGATGTCTTTCCCTGCTGGACCTCTGGGTGGCTTCTCTGGGGCATTTAAGCATCACGCGCAAGCCCTCACAGATTTGGGGTGACCATGTTACAACTTGGCCTTCCAAGACAACGGTTGCCCTGCCCAGTGGCCCCTGGCCTTGATTTGATCTGAAATAATCTGGCCCCTGGGGCTGGAGTGTAACTGCTAGTCGCAGCCTGCTGGGGCTGCCAAGACACAGCTCTTTTGGGGGTGGACACACTTCCCAACCAGTGCAAGATGGAGCCCATCCAAGCTGGCCAGAATGCAGCTTGGCGAGAGCTGGAAGGAGTATGCGGCCGGGGCAGGTCTGGGCTCTCTGTAAACAGTCTTCATCCGCTGGCTTCTGATGATGGACTGAAAGCAGGTGGGAATCAGGTCAGTGTCCCACCTCCTGTGGCAATGCCCACACCCTCTGGTTCCAGGGGATGGGGAGGAGAAGGGCAGGAAACTTCTTCCACTGAGGACTTATTGTGAGCCAACCCTGGACCAGGAAGTCAATATCCAACAATGCCAATGTTTACAAATACATTCTCTGTTCCAGGAATGGGGATACGCATGTAACAGGCATTCACTGATTTTATCCTTATTCCAACCCTATGAAGCAAATACTGTCCTCACTCCTGTTTTGTAGATGAGACTCAGAGAGGTTAAGCCACTTGCCCAAGGTCACACAGTCCATAACTGACTTGGATTCGAGACATGGCAAGCTGGCTCCAGGGTCTGCTTTTGAGGCAAGGTGGCCTTGAACTTCCAAACTTCCAGTTCTGGAGTTTGATGTCTTTATTTATTTAGCCTTCCTTGCTCTCCCTATGCTTTTCTCCTGCACATCTCATGGTCGGAGTGGGAATTGGACAATGACCTAGGTGCCTGTTCAACTTCTTTTTTGGGAGACAGAGTCTCACTCTGTATCCTGGGCTGGAGTGTGGTGCTGTGGTTCCAGCTTTCCCCAGCCTTGACCTCCTAGACTCAAGGAATCCCTCTGCTTCAGCCTCCTGAGTAGGTGGGACCTCAGGCACATACCACAACAGCTAACTAATTTTACTTTTTTTTTTTTGAGTTGGAGTCTCACTCTGTCGCCCAGACTGGAGTGCAGTGGCCGCTCCCGGCCACTACAGCCTCGACCTCCTGGGCTCTGGCGATCCTTCCGTCTCAGCCTTCCGAGTAGCCGGAATTACAGGTGCACGCTACCAAGCCCGGCTAATTTTTTGATTTTATTGTAAAGATGAGGTCTCGCCTGCCCAGGCGGGTCTCGAACCCGCGGGCTCAGACAATCCATTCACCTCAGCCTCCCAAAGGCGCGGGATTAGGCTGAGCCACCGAGCCTGGCAATTTTACTTTTTGTAGAGACAAGGTCTCACTATGTTGCCCAGGCTGGTCTCGAACTCCTGAGCTCAAGTGATTCTTCCACCTCAACCTCCCGAAGTGTTGGGATTACAGGCGTGAGCCACCGCTGCCCGGCCGCAGTCCAACTTCAAATACTCCTTTCACAGGATATAGAGCCGCTACCAGGCACTCTGTGTAGCCAGGAGGTGGGGGGAGCTGCAGAGGGCGAGTCTCGGGCACCAGATGGAAAAGTCTATTTATTACAAAGTCTGGTTCCCACTTTCCAAGAAGAGGGCAAGACTCTGATTCCTTAGACACGTGTGCCCCGTGGGGTTCTTGAAGTAGGCGAGGCAAGGCGACAGAATGGGCCTTCTAATTCTAAGAATCAGGGTTCATGCCCCGTCATGTTGGAAAGTGGAAACCGGACTTTATAACACACAGACCTGGGCAGGGCGCCTGCGGTGGAGGCCGTCAACAGAGCGGGGACTGGCAGCAGGCTTTCTGGGGCGTGGGAGGAAGCTCTTCTCAGGCTTGCCTTCCCCTGGCCCCCTCAGCCAGCTCAGGCCCCGAGAACCCAGCCGGCCCGGTGTCCCAGGGGAAACCCCCCCCACCAGGGCCCGGCCGGCTGCACCAGGCCACCCCTGCCTGGCTCCTGAATGCATCTCCTTTGTTCCTTCGGTTCTGGGAGGGCGGGGAGGACAGGGCCAGGGCTGGGCAGCACCTCCCAGAGCCCTCCAGCTGAGGAGCAGTGGAGGCCAGCCTGCAAGTGGGCGAGCTGGGCCAAGTCCTCACTCTGCCCCCTGGAGCTTTGACCTTGGGCTGGTGGTTTACACCTCAGCGTCCGAGTCTCCCTTTACCTGCACGTGGGGGTGGGTGGTGATGATTAACTGGGACAATGTCTGTGGCAGGCAGGGCCTAACACGCGGCCATAAAGGTCAGTCAGCGCTGCACCGGCCTGCTGCATGCCTGGAATCCCGCCAGCAAGGGGCTCTGTGAAGACATGATACGCTGGCCCCGCACAGTGCTTTGGGAGGCCGAGGCAGGAGGATCGCTTGAGCCCAGGAGCTGGAGACCAGCCTGGGCAACATAGCGAGGCTTCATGTCTACAAATTAATTAATTAATTAATTAGCCTGGCGTGGTGGTGGGTGCCTGTAGTCCTAGCTGTTCGGGAGGCTGAGATGGGAGGATCACTTGGGCCCAAGAGTTCGAGGCTGGGGTGAGCTGTGATAGCATTCCAGCCTGGGTGACAGAGTGAGACCCTGCCTCTCTCTGAAGGACCTATGATATATCCTGTTTTTATCATCTAGGGTGGTGGGGTGAGCTTACTGCCTCCATTCCGTCCTGCTTGTGGGACAGCAAGGCAGGAGAGCCCTAGGTCCCAGGCAGGGTGTACTGAGCTAGTGAGCTGAGACCCAAGACTGTCGTGCATGGATATGTCTTTGGAGCTCCACACTGGACAGCGCAGGGACTCAGGCAGGAGGGAAGATCTGTCCAGGGAGATTTGCGGTCAAGCAGACTGTGCAGTGGAGGCCTAGGCGACAGGGAGGGCATCTGGGGGTGTGCGTGCATGTGTGTACATGCGTGTCAAACAGAGAGGCAGGAATTGAGAGGTGCTGAGTGACAGTGTTGCACCATGTGACAGAGAGGCTGGTGGGGGAAACCCTTAGAGGATCAGGGTTTCAGCGAATGCCAGTTCGAAAACAGCCCGGGCACGGTGGCTCACACCTGCAATCCCAGCACTTTGGGAGGCAAGAGGATCATTTGAGCCTTGGAGTTCGAGACCAGCCTGGGTAACATATCGAGATCTCATCTCTACAAAAAATAAAAAATAAAAAAACAAGCTGGGTGTGCCTGTAGTACCAGCTACTTGGGAGGCTGAGGCAGAGGGATTGCTTGAGCCAGGAGGTGGAGGCTGTGGTGAGCCGTGATTGTGCCACTGTGCTCCAGTCTGGGTGACAGAGTGAGGCCCAGACCAACCAAGAAATACATTTTAAATAAATAAATTAGTAAAAAAACAACACTCCCCACTTCCCGCCAAAAACAAAAACAACAACAACAAAAAAACCCAGTCCATGAAAGTGTCCAGCCAGTCTCCTCCTAGCACTTCAGGATGGATGCCTAGTGTAAAGAGAGGTTCACCTGCAAGGACCCAGAGGTCCTGCGGGAAACAGAGGCTTCCCTCCGAAGAGGGGGTCAGGAGTCCGGGGCTCCAGCCCCAACCCCCAAGTGGCCCTTAGCACACCCCTTTCCCTCTCTGGGCCTTTGTTTTTGTGTGTTTCCAGGACTGGAACAGCGTGGCTCAGTTCCTCCCAGCTCTCTTGGCCAGTGACTGACACAGGCTGGCGCTCCAGAGGGTGAGTTCCCCCTCGCCCCGGAGTAGAGGCTGGTGGTCTCCCACGCCTCTGATCCTCTTCACTGGGTGGGGCACCCATTCTCCGCTGCTGCACTTGGGTGCTGAGGCTCACATCTCCTCCCTTCTGGGAGTTTAAGTCACACCCGCACCCTCAGCCCTGTAGCCATGACTCGCTGGTGTGGAGGTGTCCAGCGTGGCCCCCTAGCTGCAGGGTGGGGCCAAGTCTGTGGTCTTG